GGGGGGGGGGGGGGGGGGTGGTGACCCACCAGTGAGGTGGCCCAGCTCCGCACGCAGCCGGTTCCCCAGCTCCAGGAGCTGCTCCTTCTCCAGGCGCAGCCGCAGGATTTTCCTGGCTGCCTCCTTGAGCTTCCTCTGGAGTCGGGGCACAGACAGGGCCTGAGGGGGCTGTGCCTCCTGGTCCTCGGTCCCTGCGGGTCCTCCACGTGCCAGGCCCTGTGAACAAACCCACACAGCAGGGGCCATCAGATGAGTCCTGGAGGGGAATGGGAAGTGGGAGTGAGGGTGCGGATGGTGGGCGCCACCACCCGAACGACTGTCCCAGAACACACATCGCTGGGTGACATCCCTCCAACATGATACATCCATGCCCGCCTTCTCTCTCAGGGCGGCGGAGTTGGGCTGGTGGTGGGCTCTGAATGAAGGCCCTCGAGGCTCCCAGGCCAAGGCCTGCCTGCCCCAATGCCTTTGTCTTTCCAGTGACAGTGAGGAGCCAGCTGGCACCCAGGTCTGGGCTCCCCCCAAAGGTGCCCCCGGGACCCAGGAGGGCTACACGTGTGATCGGACCCCCTTCGAGGGCCCCATGGTCACAGGCTGGGTGCCTGCTGCCCGCCTGGTGTGGAAGGGGGCTGGCAGAGACCCAAAAGGTGGCCTGGGACGGGAACCCAGCCTCCATTACTCTCTTCCCCTTGCCCTGGACGTCAGCACTGCTGGGCCCCTCTGCCCTGGGCCCTTCTCCAACCCCTCCCCTGTCCTCATTCACTCAGTCCCTTGCCTTCCCTGCCTCCTCTCTGGCTCCATCCGTCCATACTCCCGTCTCAGTCATTTCTCTACCTGACATTCAGACTCCCCTCCATCACCTGCAGGCCGGTCCAGGTTTCCCACCATCCTGACCCAGACTAAGGTGCCAGAGAGAAAGCAAAGGAGGCCAAGGGAGGGAGCAGTGGCCGCCTGGAGGCTGCCTTGGGCCAACACCCGAGGTCTGAACCCCGTTGCTCGGGCAGCACCACGCAGCCCTACATCCTACCACTATCCCAGTCTGGACTCACACACAGATGTGTGTTCCCACCCAGAGGGGTACTTGGAATGGGGTGGGTGTGGGGAAAGGAGAAAGGGAAAAAGGAGAACGTGTGTGGCTGCCTCTGTTCCAGGCAGAGGCCCAGGAGGACCAGTGGCATCCAAGGCCCCAAAGGAAGCAGGTGGCCTACTTAGGCATGGCTGTTCCTGACACCTATGAAAAACCGCATTGTGCTGTCCCAGCCACTTGAGCTGGCTCCAGAACAAGGAATCTGCTCTACATCCCTGGAAAAGACCAGCACGCCCTGTCCTGGCCCTGTTTCTTGGTGTGCCTTTCCAGGGCTGGCAAGCACCTGTGCCCTCCTGTGGCCTGGGAGCTACAGTGATTGCACACCGGTGCCTCCAGCACATGCCTGACGTATTGGCATGAAGCGGGGTGTGGAGGTGATACGGTAAAGGGACCATCAGAGAAAGGCCTCTGCCCCGCAGCCCCGGCTTGGGGTCTCTCAAGTGTACAGGACCAGGGCTGGTGGGGGGCTGTCTTGGAGATCTGTAGCGTGGATTCACACACAGGGCTGCACAGGTCCCAGGCGGCTGACCCGACCCGTTGGGAAAGGTACACAACCTCCAGGGATGTAGCCCTGGGATTGGGGGACTGGCCAGGCCACTCTTTCTCCAGGCTTTGTCCTCTACAAGGATATGCTGTGGGATTCTCTTGTGTTATTTTAAGTAAGGAAAGAACAATCCTGAAAACAGAGACTGTGCAAAACTCAGAACACTTAGAGATTTAAAAATCTCTTCAAAAGCAGGACCCCACCCTGCGAAGATGGCCCCTGGCCTGAGCTGAGGAACATGCTGCCTGAGGCGTGACCTCAGGCGTGACTGGGCTCGGGGATGGGGAGTCCTGATCTTGAGTGGCCCACGTTCTTGTCACACAGTGACTGCACGCGATGAGCGGGTGCTGCAGCTGGGCCCCACCTCTCTTAAGCTCAGTTCCTGGTAAGATGAAGCTTATTTTGATGACTCTAAAGTCTCACCCCACAATGACACAATGCTAATAATGACCTGAGATGCCCAGGAGCTTCTGCACTGCTGCGTTCAGGGCCCAAGGTCCCACCCCGTGATGGCCCCATCCACTTGCCCTCGCCTGCTCTGGTGCAGGTCCCAGCATCCTGGCCAGAACGGAAACATCCACGCAGCAGAGGAAAAGCTTGAGGCATCCTAATGACGACTCTGTTCCCAAGGGAAGGGAGTGCCTGGGCTCCTTGAAGAAGCCCTGCAGGGAGGCTGAGGCCCAGGGAGAGGCAGCGCGGGCTCCCTTGGGGCAGGTTCCCAAGCTTCCAGGCAGAGCCAGAGGGATCGCCAGCCAACACTGCCCCCCAGCGGCCCGAGGTGCCCGGTGGGGAGGCCTGGGGAAACCCAGCATCCGTCTGTTTGGGGCCTGGGCAGGGCAGCCTGCAGGAGGGAGGGGCCTGGGTGAGCTGAGAACCATGGAAGTGTGACAATGCAGCCACCTGCCCCACAGGGTCTCCCGTGACTGTGGGAAGCTCCAGGGTCTGCAGGCCCCTTCTGGGCTGGGGTGCTGGCTTTTGTATGGCAGGGTCCCACCCCCACAGAGCAGCTGCAGGGATGGCCCAAGGCCCACGCCCCTGTCTCACTGCTGGTGGTTCCTCCCCTCTCCACACACCTCTCTCTCTGGACCATCTGAGGGTGAGCTGGAGGCATCGCACCCCTTCATGCCTGAGGGTGAGCTGGAGGCGTCGCGCCCCTTTATGCCTGAGGGTGAGCTGGAGGCACCGCGCCCCTTCATGCCTGAGGGTGAGCTGGAGGCATCGCGCCCCTTAATGCCCCAATACTTCAGTTTGTACTTTCTGAAAACAAGGACATTCTCTTAATAACCAGTTATTAGAACCAGAAATTTCACAGGGACGTGGCATTATGACCTAACGCACAGTCCACAGGCACCTCCATCAGCTGCCCAGAGGACGTTCTTTATGGCCTGTTTCTCCTGCCCGGGGTCCAGGATCCTGCGTGGCTTCTGCATCCTGGGTCCCCTAAGTCCCCAGCACAATGTTCTCAACAGGACAAGCTGTGGGTTTAGTGCCCCTCGGTCTGGGTCTGTCCTTGGAGTCAGGAGCGAGGCTGTGTCCCTCTCCTGTCCGGAGGCTTGTGATGTCCGTCTGTCCCAGTGTTGGCAATGGGAGCTGATCTCTCGGAAGTGGTGTCCACTGGCTGCAGCACCAGAAAGTTACTGTTTTCCCTTTCCAATAAGAAGAACTTCTGGGGAGATTCCATGTAAACAGCTTGTCTAGAATTTCAGCATCTGATGACAACCCCCCGCTGTGTCATTCCCTTCATGTCCTTGGTTGATGTTCTAAGTTAGGAAGAGTTTTCCTCTCTCCTTCCTTTCCTTGTCAGTTTATTTGCATCAGAGTGAATGCGACCCCCTGTTTTAGTAGGTAGATGATAACCTTGACTTCATGATTGACTGGCTGGATCTGGTCAGTGGGAGCCCTTTATGCTGGCTCCTGCATCCCTGTCATGTCTCTGTGGTGGAATTCGCCACTTACCCTGGTTCCTCTCAGCAGAGCAGGAAGTTCGGGAATGCGATCTAGGCACTGGGTATGCTCACCCACCCTGGGGAGCCACTGCCCCTTGGCTCCTGGTGGACAGAGCCGGGGGATGTGCACAGCCCTCTCTTTAAAGTAACCCACGAGTTTACTGTGGTGACTCCAACCCCAACCTGAGCCCCAGAGGCATCCTAGCCCTCCCGACAACCTTCTTCCCCAGCCTCAGAAGCCTGGTGCCCACAGCCTCTTCTCTGGGCACCCAACACACAGCTGGGCAATTACGAGCAGAGCCTGGGTGGGCCTGGCCTGGGGAAAGGGTTTCCTGTGCCTCCAATTTCTCACCCTGGGAGTGACCTCACCAAGGTCACAGGATACCTAGACCTGGAAGGAGGTGGGACCCTGATAGCCATGCAGAAACTAAGGCCCAGAGAGCTCACTCAACACCCACCTTGGGAGAGCGGCCTTGGGCCTCAAGTCGCTTCAGCTCCCAGGCTGTCTGCCAAGGGATTAAATACCTCGATTTTAATTTCCACTCATTTGCATGGTTTCTTCCCCCTTCACTCTAAACAAGGGGATCAGAGTTATGCGAGGGCTTCTAACAGGAGAGCTGCAAGGGTCCCTGGGCTGCAGTGAGCCCCTGGCAGCACGTGGAACAGCCATGGCCGTGGCGGGAGAGCAGACACATCACCAATGGCATTTGCTGCCCAGCTGGGCCCGGAGCCTCTGGACTTAACTCCTAGATTACAGGACTGTGGGGAGGTCTGGGGCTCTTGGGGACAGCATCCACCTACCGATGGCACAGAGGGTTCAGTATCCCACTTCTAGTGTCCCCTCGGGGCTCAGGCTCCCTCAGCTTCCCTCTCACCAGCCCATCTCCCTCTGCAGGCACTCCTCATATGTTCGCCCCTGCCAAAGCACAGCTGGCCCCCCTCATGTTCCTTAAGCCAGATAGTATCCTGGGTTGCATCTTCTCCATTCCAGGTCCTTCACAGTCCCCGAGAGTAGGTCCTGGAGCCTGGTCCCTCTTGTGTCCTTAAGTATCACTCTCAAAACTTGGCCCATGTGATGAGAACCACTGGGGAGCATACGATCGATGCTACTTCTGCCTGAGGACTCTTGATGCCTCCCAGACATCATTTTACTGTCCTTAAAACCTTCTGCAACCACAGGTAGCACAGGTAATCACAGGTCACTGCAGGTAATGCAGGTAATCACAGGTAACTGCAGGTCACCATCTGTGACTGCAAATAACCGTAGATAACTGATAGGTCTCGGGAGGCATGTCACACGATGCCCTGTGAAGAAAGCCCATTCTTTTTTTTTTTGCTGTACGCAGACCTCTCACTGTTGTGGTCTCTCCCGTTGCGGAGCACAGGCTCCGGACGCGCAGGCTCAGCGGCCATGGCTCGCAGGCCTAGCCGCTCCGCGGCATGTGGGATCTTCCCAGACCAGGGCACGAACCCGTGTTCCCTGCATCTGCAGGCGGACTCTCAACCACTGTGCCACCAGGGAAGCCCGAAAGCCCATTCTTTGCAGCATCTCCATCACGGTGTTCAGGAAGCAGGCAGGTGGCCTGTCTGGCAGACATGTGGGGACAACATGTGCTGCTGCAGAGCTCTTGCCCTGCCTGGGACCTTGGCTTAAACCCAGCCACGGAACTGGAGGGGAACTGGGTGCCAAGGGCCTGACCAGGACCAGGACGCCAGGTGGCCCGTGCTCCAGACAGCATCTCAAACACTCTGAGAAGCTCACGAGAACCACAGGCTCCATCCCTGAGGGTCCTCTGGAAGGAGAACCCACCATGTTGCATCCATTTCGGGGCTTCCCAGGCCCTTGAATCACACAGTCAAGGACTCCTGTGTTAGAGGACACAGAACAGTCCTCTTCACAAGTGCAGCCGCCCTACATGCTTTTAAAGGGATATCAGTGACCTGGAGGACGAGGGGCTTGGCAGCCCTTGACAGTGTCTGTGGAGAACAGCCCCGACACAGCCAGCCTAGTCAAGGAAGAAGAGGGAGGCCGGGGCGGGCGGGCCCCTCACTGGCCAAGACGGCACCCCAGACCAGTCCCGCACAGGACGCAGAGCACCCACAGGGCACCCACCTCTCCCCCGACAGCCTCGGTGTCTGAGGCGTGCGGTTGCTGCCTGCCTGAAGCACCCCCGCCTTCCTTCTGGGCTGACCTGAGATGCTTCTCAATCTCAGCCACCTGCTTCCGCAGCTGCAAAACCTCCAGGTGCACCTGGTCCAGCTCGTGGGGAAGCTCTCGCTGGATGGTGTCCATGTCCAGGGGTTCCCGCAGCACCTGGGAGGCCGTTTTAGAGACAATGTTAGGAAGGCGGCCAGCTCTGGGAAGGGTCTGGAACAGATCTGCAGGGAGGACAGGGAAGCAAGAGAAGGGCAGCAGTAGATGGTAGAACGTCCAGAAAGATCGGAAGGACACATGCCGGTCAGCCTCCCCTCTCTGGCCGAATTCCATCACCCACAAGCCTACAGCCCCGCCGCCAAGCTGCCGCTCTTCTGGTCCCACCTAACCAGGCTCCCAGGCGGCTCCACTTGTCGCCCCCAGAGTGGGGACGCGGGCACCTGCAGCAGAGCCTACACTGGACCCAAGGTTGGTTGGGGAGAGTCCCTGCACGGTGTCTGGACAGTGGGCCTTAAAACCTTCTTCCTGGGCCCTAGTTCCAGGTGGAGACAAAGGGCACGTAACTGTGGGCAGGGGTGGGGAGGCCCAAGCCTATCAAAAGGCAGAGGTGGATGAAGGCGTAGGAAGGGGCAGGAAGGCAAGTCCTGGCTTCACGAACAACCTGGGGCAGCTGGGGGGCGGCTAGGATGTGCCCGAGTAGAGTCCTGGCCAGAGCTCCAGGGCCGCCCCGTCCTTCAGCTACCTCTCTCGACAACGTCTGCTCTCCCAACATAAGGAGGGGAAAAGGACAGGTAGAAAGACAGATACACCTCTCTACACCCTCAACTTGCCAATTTTATTCCCAGGAAGATAAAATATCTTCCTATTCCAGGGCCTCCTACAAAGAATCCATAATGAATATTTTATTCTATTTATTCACATACACTAAAAAAGATGACCATTCGATAAACATACACTGTTAACTAAAAAACACTACAAGGTAGACTTTTTTCCTCAGGATAATCAAACCACCTATCATTATCAAGATAGGATTAAAAGCTCTTATTTACATGTTTATTTCCTGTTTCTGGCATGTGGGGGGATGTAACATCCCGATGGTGGGGCAGAACTGGGAAAGGGCAAGCATCTGAAGACCCCCTCCTCTCATATGTGACATAGGTCTGTAATCCCAGAAACAGAAAAGTGGTCCAGTTCATCTCCACTGCAACAGCAAAAATGAACTTTCAGCCAAGACAAGGCATCTGATTTCTGGGCATTGCCTGCTCCCCACAAAAGACAGAAATCGCCAAGCAATGTCTGTCACCAGCCAGGTGTTCTGCTCCATGGAAGATGCAGAGTCTGCAGGATGGTGTAACCTATGTACTTATGGACTTGAGAGTGCACATGAAAACGGCCTCATGGGAAAGAAACGTCACAGGCGACAGAGTGGCGTAACACCACCAGCACCAGCAGTAAGAACTGTGTTCCCAGGGACATTGTCAAGACCATGAAAAGACAAGCTAGAGAATGGGAGAAAAAGTTTGCAAATCATATATCTGGGGGACTTCCCTGACGGTCCAGTGGTTAAGACTCTGCGCTTCCAATGCAGGGGGAGTGGGTTCGATCCCTGGTCAGGGAACTAAGATCCCACATGCTGCAGTGTGGAAAAAAAAAAAAGTCATATATCTGACAAAAGACTTGTAGAACATACAAAGAACTCTGACAATTCAACAACAAGACAATAAACAACCCGATTAAAAATGGGCAGAGGATATTCATGGACATTTCTCCAAAGAAGACATACAAATGGCCGATAAGCACATGAAAACATGCTCAACATCATTTTTCATCAGGAAAATGCAAATCAAAACCACAGGTCAGGTCCACCTCACACCCACTAGAACGGCTAGAGTCAAAAAGACAGCAAAAGCAGCCGGTGCTGGTGAGGACGTGAGACACGGGGACCCTCATGCACCTGCTGGGGGTGGAAAGTGTGCAGCTTCTGTGGAAACATTAGTGGCTCTCCAAAATGTTAAATATAGAATTACCCTGTGACCCAGCAATTCTACTCCTTCATGCATACCCCGAAGAACTGAAACAGGGACTTGGACAGACCACATTCACAGCAGCCAAACAGTGGAAGCAACCCAAGTGTCCAGCAGATGAATGGGTACACTAAATACTGGGATACTCTCCAGTTACTAAGAGGAAAGAAGTTCTGACACCTGCTACAACATGGATGAACGTTGAGGACATTATGCTGAGTGAAATGAGCACGTCACAGAAGGACAAGGGCTGCGTGATTCCCCTGATATGAGGCTCCCCGAGGACTCAGGCCCATAGAGGCAGAAAGAGTAGAGTTTACCAGGGGCTGGGGGTGGGGAACAGGGAGTTAGTGTTTAATGGGGACAGAGTTTCTGTTCAAATGATGAAAGAGTTCTGGGAACAGACCCTGGTGATGGTTACACAATACTGTGAATATACTTAACGTCACTGAATTGTACACACAAAAATGGTAAACTTTATGTTACGTATATTTTACCAGAATTTAATAAAAAGCACTAAAAAAAAAAGAGATATCATGAATTAATAGCAATAAAGCACAGCTTGTGACACCAGCACCATCATGCCAGGGCAGAACTGCACTGGAGTTTGCCCAGCTGTCCTGCCTCCCCAGGAAGCAGTGTGTTGGCCGAGTACCTGGTGACAACCCGTCCCCCAGGAAGGCAGGGCCAGGGGACAGAAAGGGTCGCCACTGGCCAAGGCATCTAGAGTCACAGACAGTGATGACGAGCACACGTTCTTGCCACAGTTTGGTGCCTGGGTTTAACACGGGTCCCGGGACTCGCCCAGCACGTCCTGGGAGGGCAGAGACGGGGCCCTGCGCATCGACGGCCAGCACTGCCCCTCATGCCCTGGACTCTCCTCTCTCATCTACCAGGTCCTCACTGCGTGCCTTCTAGGGACACACGAGAGGTGAACCAGCTGCTCCTCACAACAACCCCTTCCTTGCATAGAACCTGAGGCACAGAGAGGCCACAGCAGGTTCCTGAGGTTCAGTGCCACCCCAGGAGTGCCTTCAGTCGGAAGACCTACACAGTCTAGCATCAGAGGGCAGCCATACCTTCTGTCTGAGTTGTGCCACCAGGAAGCTCAGGAGATGTGCCCTGTCTCCAAGCCTCTGGAGCGCCAGTCCCGTGGATGGACCATCGACCGGCACAGCTCCTCCTGCAGAGAGAGAGATTTTTGTCGGACTCACATCTCCTAAAGCCCTGGGAACTTCCAACTGCCTGTCCTCCCTTTGAGGAGATGGACATCTGAGGCGTCCAGGGCAGAGGTGTGTTCTTCTCTGCCCTCCCCTAAGGATGCCTACGGTCACTGCTGGTCTGCTGTGACGTTAAGATGTTCTAAAGCTGAGTGGATACAGCTGGGTGCCCCCAAAGACTGAGATGAGCTGCACGTGAAGAACAATCCTTATGCCAAGAAAGCAGGAGTCTTCGTGGAGAAAAAAAATCCAACCTTACCAGCTAGTGTCTGGTAGAGGCCAACCTGCGTAGCCTCCTAGTCGTTTGGCTGGGAATTAAGAAAATGTCCACGAATCCACAGGTCAAAGAAGAAATCACAGTGGACATTAGAAATTACTTTGAACTGAATTATCATAAAAGCACTGCTTATCAAAACTTAAGGAATGCATCTAATGCTGTCCTTTCAAAAGTATTTATAGCCATACAAGCTTACTTTAGAAAAGAAGGATGAAAGATAAGTGAACTGAGCATCCATTTCAAAAATGAGGGAAAAAAAGCAAATAAAGTAGAAGGAAGGACAGAACAAAGTCAGTATTAGATGCTGAGGAAACAGAAAACAATGTGCAATAGAGGGTGAACAAGATCAGAGGAGGTTCTTTGAAAAAGTTAAGTCCCTGGTGAGATTAAGCAGGAAAAACGGACAGAGACAATACAGCAGATGGAAAGGCTGTTACTTTAGATCCTGGGGGCTGTGAAAACGTGTGGAGAATACACTCCCCAAAGCAACTTTATGCCAAATTTTTGAATATTTAAATGAAATAGTCAATTTTCTAGCAAATTATAACATCAAAAAATGACACAGAAAAAGGAAAATCTAGATAGTCCTTTAACTGTGAAAAAAACCTGAACTAAAACTTTAAACCTTTCCCACAAGGAAAACTCTATGCCCAGGTGGTTTCAAAGTTGAAGTCTATCAATTGGTTAAGGAAAAATTAACATAAGTCTAATATAAACTTTTTCAGAAAACAGAGAGATAGTGAACATATTCCAACTTATTTATGAGGCCAGAATAATCCTGATTCCAAAACCTGACGTGAACATCAGGAGGAAGGAAAATTATAGGCCAATCTTACCCATAACATAAATGTGATAATTCTCAATAAAATATTAGCAAAAGAATATATCACATGTTGAGTTTATTCCAGAAATGCAGGGTTGGTTTAACATTCAAAGACCAATTTAAGCTTCTCATTCTGAACAAAATGAGTGTGTGTGTGCATTCCACCCCACTCCTCTCCCTGATTACAGCTGAGAGCCCTGGACACCACACACCAAGCCAGATGAGGAGATTCTGAACAGGGAGGAAAAGCAGGCAGAGAGGCTGGGGACCTTGGGAATCAAAGGATGACCCATAGTGAGTTCCTGGAGTTTTTTCCTTCCTGTATTTCCCAACTTTGGTGCTGGAGCAGCCACGACTCGGAGACACCACTGAGCTAAGACCAGGAACCAAGGCCCAGGAAAAGGGAGACCCACATGGCTGCTGGTAAAACAGAAGCAGAATTAAAACAGACTCAATGACAATCAGGATTTCATGACATGACACTCAAATGTCCATGACAGAATCCAAAATTACTCATTATATCAACAACAGGGAAAATCTCACCTTGAACGGAAGAAGACAGCAACAAGATGACAGATTAAAGTGACTCCAACAGGCAATCTGATACACTCTCAAAAACAAATGAATATTGGAAGTTTCGGCAAAGGGATAAAAAATACAAAGAAGAACAAAATGGAAATTTCAGAACTGAAACCATAATAAAAATCTCACTGTATGGGCTTGATAGGAGAATGGAGACAACAGAAGAAAGAACTGGTGAACTTGAAGATATAATAGAAATTCTCCAATCTGAACAATAGAGAAAACAGATTGGAAACAGAGACAGACAGAGCCTCAGTGACCTGTGGGAGAATAACAAAAGATCTAACACTCTTGCCATTGGAGTCCCAAAAGGGAAAAACAGTGTGGAGCTGAAAAAAATACTTGAAGAAATAATGGTTGAAAACTTCTCAAATTTGGCAAAAGACACACCTTCAGATTCAATGTCAAAAGGATAAGCCAAGGAAGTCCGTGCACAGACCATCATCATCAGATTTCTGAAACTGAAGACAAACTCTGAAAGCAGGCAGAGAGAAATGATTCACATGCAATGGACTGCTCATCAGAAATGATCATCTGATTTCTCACCAGAAGACAATGGTATATTTTAAGTGCTGAAAGCAAAGAACTGTCAACTCATAATTTTATACCAGTGAATATACTCTTCAGGGATGAAGGTGAGATAAAGACATCTCAGATGAAGAGAAACCAAGAGTTTGTCACGAGCAGTCTTGCTGTAAAGGAATTGCTGAAGGAAGTGCTTCAGACAGAAGGAACCTGGAATCAAGAGTCATGGAAAGGGGAAGGATCCGGGAAAAGAATGGACCATACCTTTCCTCCTGAGTTTTAAAATTATGTTTGACAGTTGAAAGCAAAAACGAGGATCCTGTCTGATGTGGTTCTCGATGTACAGAGGGGTGGTATTTGCGAAAATAAAGGGGGTGATGGGGTCTGACTGGTGGTAAGATCCCCACATTCCACTTGAAATTGCAGTGTTGACACGAGTTGACCGTGATAAGTAAGGATATTGAAATCCCTAGAGCAAACACTAGAAAAAGTACCCAAAGAGATACACTGAAAAGCTAGATTAAAGTGGAACACTAAAAAATGTTCAAGTAACCCAACGGAGGCAGGAAAGAGGAAACCGACGGATAGAAAACAAATGTGAAAGGGCAGGCTTGGCTCCTGACACGGCAACAATTACAACAAGTGCAAACACTCTAAACCCATCGGCTGAAGTATCACAAGATGGATTTCAAAACTGCCTAGCTACATGCTGCCTACAAGGAATTCACTTCAAATGCAACGATGGAGGTGGGTTAAAAGAAAATGGACGATAAAGATATACATGCAAATGCCAATCAGAAGAAAGCAGGACTGGGACTTCCCTGGCGGTCCAGTGGTTAAGACCCTGTGCTTCCAATGCAGGGGGCTAGGGTTCTATCCTCGGTCAGGGAACTAAGATCCCACATGCTGCGCAGCATGGCCAAAAAAAAAAAAAAAAAAAAGGAAGAAAACTGGACTGGCTGAATTAGCATCAGAGAGTAGACTTGAGAGGAAAGAAAATTACCAGGATGAAGAGGAACACCACACGATGATATACAGGTGAAACCACCAAGAAAACATAAACGTATATACATTGAACAACAAAGCTTCAAAATACATTAAGCAAAAACTGATAGAATCATGACAAAAAAAATACAGATTTGTATTACAATAGGAATAGGAAGAGACCTTCTTCATCTGACCAAAAAAAAAGTAAACATTAAACTTTAAAGTATTGAAAGTTTTTCTCTGGGATCAGGAAGAAAGCCAGCTATGATCAAGGGGAAGTAGCACAAGAGAAAAAAGTAAAAGCTATCAGCACTGGAAAAGACAAAAATAAAACATCCACTACTTGGGACAAGATGACTAGGTAGGCAGAGTGTCCTGCCTGCCCTTTCCTTTCCTTCCTGAACAATGGACCCATAAACGATCAGATGGGCGGTGGCAGGAGGTTACCCTCTGTGGGCGATCTGCCTGGGGGCTGGCAGCCCAGCAGGTGAGGGTGTCAGGGTGGAGGGCAGCCTGGTTTGGCTGTCAGAGCCCGGGAGGGCCTGGGTAAAAGGGTGGGGCCTCCATGTGGGGAAAGGCCTCCGTGCTAGGGAGGCTGCTCACACCCAGGAACTGGACAGAAGAAGTAATGTACTGGGGAGGTCGGGAGCCAGGCTTCTCGTTGTCGGAAAAGGAAGTTAAGAGTAATGAAAGTGGAGACTAGAACAAGCCTGTGATCCTGGACCAACCACAGAGGAACAGACTGACGGATAAGTTTGTCTTAAATTAAGACCTTCTGATGCCTCAGGAAATGGATCCAAAAAAATATTGCTAAGATTTACGGCAGGGTGTTCTGCCTATGTTTTCTTCTAGGACTCTTATGATTTCTGGTCTCACATTTAGGTCTCTAATCCATTTTGAGTTTATTGCTGTATACGGTGTTAGGGAGTGTTCTAATTTCATTCTTTTACATGTAGCCGTCCAGTTTTCCCAGCATCACTTATTGAAGAGGCTGTCCTTTCTCCATTGTATATTCTTGCCTCCTTGGTCGTAGAATGAAATTTTGCCATTTGCAACAACATGGATGGACCAGGAGGGCATTAGGCTAAGTGAAAGAAGTCAGACAGAAAAAGACAAATACTGTATAACACTTATACGGAGAATCTAAAAAATACAACAAACTAGTGAATATAACAAAAAAAGAAACAGACTCACAGATACAGAGGACAAACTAGTGGTTACCAGTGGGGAGAGGGAAGGGGGGAGGGGCACGATAGGGGCAGGGGATTAAGAAGTACAAACTATTATGTATAAAATAAATAAGATTCAAGGATATATTGTACAGGAGATGGCCAACTGTGCTGTGTCAGCAGGAACCAGAGCAACGGCTCTCACGACTGCTACTGGGAGAGGAAATGGTGTGAATAGCCTGGAGTCAGTCTGACCATCAACCAAAACATACTGCAGCTCAAAAGAAGCCAGACAAGAGTACACAAGTGTAATTCCACTTATATGAAAACTCAGCCACAGGGTGAAGAGTCAGGACAGTGGCTGGCTCAGGAGGACAAGGGGCTCCTGGGATGGCACATTTGTAACAGCTCCTCGGGCTGTGTTAGTAGACAGTCACTGGACGGAGCACACGACACGACACAAGGATTCTCACCGGTGGTGTCTGTGGAGGCCAGGACACTGGGTTGAACGCCAGCACAGGACGAGGTCGTCTTCGAAGGATCTAACACATCTTCCAGTTGTTCCTCCAATGTTTTAAATTTATGCTTTAGAGTTCGGATTTCTGCTTCAAGGGCCAGAACATAATCTTCCAAAAAACCCAGTAAACACACAGACACATGCGTTTATACTCTCACCCTTTATCTACCACCCTTGTCCTCCCCTGCCCGACCCTCATGACTGTCCCGGGCTGTCTGATACCCTCCCCTCCAGAGATCAGCTCGCCATGCTCTCCGAGGGGGCCACACGGTCAGGAGCAAACACTCACCCTCCTTCAGTCCTGCAACCCTTGATGCACTGACACAACCATATCATCCTGAGTGCAGCCGTCTCAGGCGCTGCCCCTCCACTCACCACCCCTCGATACCCTGCTCCAAATAGCGTGGGGCTGGGCGACCTTTGGGGCCTGGATGCTCCCCTGAGGAAGGGCCTGCTCCCCTAGCCCCACCTGCCCACTCCAGGAGAGCACAACGCCAACCCAGCCCCTGGTCCAAGTCTGGCTCTGGTTTTTAAGTGTGTCAAGTGTGTACCCTTCACTTTTTCCCTCCACTTACCAATAAAAAGTTTTTATTGTATATAAAATATTTGACTTAAGACCCTTCCCTTGGAGGAAAAGCAGCTGTCATACTCTGAAGTAATCTATCAAAGGGGATGTTCATTTGTAAGACTCCAAGTGAAGCCTATTATTATTTTTTTTTTTTGTGGTACGTGGGCCTCTCACTGTTGTGGCCTCTCCCATTGCGGAGCACAGGCTCCAGACGCGCAGGCTCAGCGGCCATGGATCACGGGCCCAGCCGCTCCGCGGCACGTGGGATCTTCCCGGACCGGGGCACGAACCCGTGTCCCCTGCATCGGCAGGCGGACTCTCAACCACTGCGCCACTAGGGAAGCACATCTATGGGCACTTCTTAAACTACAATCTATATACTATTTCTTGCCTTCCCTCTCTCCCATGAGAACCAGTATGGACAGAGCACCATCTCCCAGCCTGTTCTCTGGGAGATACGTGGGTACGGGCACCCTCCCTACGCATTATTATTTGCCCTACAGAAACAGAACATTGTTGTTTATGTCTCTGCATTTGGTCTCAAGACCAACGATTTTTATCAGTTTCCCTAGTTAGGGGTTATCAACTAGGGAGGTTTTGCCACCCAGGGGACATTAGGCAATGTCTGAGGACAGTTTGGTCGTGACAACTTGGGGGGAAGATGCTATTGGCATCTAGAGGGTAGATACCAAGGTTATTGCTCAATACCCCTGCCATGCACAGGACAGCCCCGCTGTACAAAGGACGGCCCCACCAGAGAAAAGCAGCTGTCATACTCTGAAGTAATCTATCAAAGGGGGTGTTCACTTGTAAGACTCCAAGTGAAGCCTACTGTGGACCCAGTAGAGATGGCACCTCATCCTCCCTCTCCCTCTCTCCCACTCCCCCTCGCTCACCAGGTACAGCTGAATCAGTGGCTGCCTTTGGGTCAGGCTGGTTTGTTTGTGAGGTCTCCCCTCCTAACTGGGCAGAAGGAAGAATCTGATCACTTAGAGTTTCCATTTCTTTCCTCATCTGTGCAATAATATTTCGCAAGCTTGTGTTCTGCTCTTGTAGCTGCTGGATCACAGTAGATGGAAAACTTTTACTTATTTCTTCTTCTTGACACCTCACAAGCAACTATCAAATACGGAAAAAAAAAAAAAAGAAAAGAAAAAGAAAGAAAAGAAAATGGTTACAGCCAAGAACCAATGATTCCCTTGTGCACTGAGGCCGGCTGCATGTGCGTCCACCTGCCCCCTGTCCCTGCTCCCCGTCGTCTATCCTGGAGGTGGGTAATGTTGACAGAAGTATGAAAAAACTTTTTCTTTTGTGTTTCATAAAGATAAGACCACTGTTTTTCAAAGATAACTCTTATTGAGAAATTTGGGAACCCTTCCTTTTTAGTCAGAAGCCCATCATTCACCCATTAGAGTGGCAGTTATAAAAAAGACGATAACAAGTGTTGCTGAGGATGTGGAGAAAATGGAATCCTTGTGCACTGTAAAAGGTAAAGGTACGCAGTGGCTTGTAAATGTAAAATGGTGCAGCTGCTGTGGAAAACAGTCTGGCTGTTCCTCAACAAAGTAAACACAGAGCTATTATACGACCCAGCAATTCCACTCCTAGGTATACACCTAAGAGAACTGAAAACATACACACACACAGAAACCTGTACACATGTTTGGAGCAGCATTATTCATAGTAGCCAAAATGGAAATACTCAAATGTCTACCAACAGATGATGGATAAACAAAGGGTAACACTGTGAAACATTACTCAGCCAGAAAAAGGAACAATGTTCTGACACATGCTACAACATGGAAGGACCATGAAGACAACATGCTAAGTGGCAGTCAAGGACTTTAAAGCAGTTCCCATAAATATACTCCAGGATTTAAAGAAAAACATGAACATAAAAAGAGAAATGGAAGCTATCAAAAAAGAACCAAATAGCATCTACAGAGATGGAAAATATACTGTCTGAAGGAAAAATTCACTGGCTAGGATGGGATTAAGAGCAGATCAGACACTACAGGAGAAAAGATGAGGGAACATAAACACATAGCAGTAGAAAGTATTCAAACTCAAGCACAGAGGTAAAGAGACCAAAAAGAACAAATAAGAACAGAGCTCTAGTGACCACGGAATAATGTGAAGCAGAAACACACTAACCCAGATCATTGAGGGGGACAGAAAAGGATTCAGAACTTGTTGGCAAGAAAATGTCCAATTTGATGAAAACGTAAGTCCACAGATCCAAGAAGTTCAAGAAACCTGAAGCAAGATAAACACACAAAAAGTCACACCAAACAGCACATCATGGTCAAATTGCTAAAAAATAATGATAAAGAAAACCTCTTAACAGCGACCAGAGGGAAAAAAGACACATTATGTTCCTGCAGAAGAACAAATACAAGAAACTGACAACTTCTCATGAGAACCAATGAAATCTAGAAGACAATGGAACTACATGCAGAAAGAAAATAAAAACCTGTCACCCTGAGTGAAAATCTCCTTTGAAAATGATGGCAAGAGAGACTTCTGCCTTTGACCATGAGGGATTTGCTGCTATAGGACTTGCCCTCTGGCTGTAAACAACTAGAAAACCAGACAAATTCTATGAAACCACTGTCTTCAGACACTGCCTGTACAGAACAGGGTGCCAGAGAGGAGGGGACAGAGGAAGGGAGCCTGTGGTTTGCCTGGTTCTCTGTGTCTGGGCCCAGCACAACCCAGCCCTCTGTGGATGTTTGCTTGCAGAAAGCACCAGGCTCCTCTCCTCCACGGCTGCCCCATCAGCACACTAACCTCCAAATGGGCAGGAGGGAAGGTCCTCCCCTAGGAAGCAGCACATGCTCACTCCCCACTCAAGGCCCAGGTCCCATCCTGAGACTTTCTGACTTTCCGACTGGTTGCTGGATCCTGCTTACCAGCAAAGCAAACCAGCCGGGCTCACGAGGACCTTTGACCAGTCCTGCTGAGAGACCAAGACTGTGAACACAACGTGAGCTTCTAACAAGTTCAGAGATGCACACACATGCCCATGCAGCATTACAGGAATCTGTGCAAATGATCCCAATGGCCATTAGTGAGAGAATGATGAAGTAAACCATGGCATGGTCATACAATAAAGTACACAACCATTTAAGTTGCATTTTTGAAGAATTTTATTTTTTATTTATTCTCTTTTTAGCTGCGTTGGGCCTTTGCTGCTGCATGCGGGCTTTCTCTAGTTGTGGCGAGTGGTGGCTACTCTTCGTCATGGTGTGTGGGCTTCTCATTGCAGTGGCTTCTCTTGTTGCAGAGCATGGGCTCTAGGTTCGTGGGCTTCAGTAGCTGCAGCACGTGGGCTCAGTAGTTGCAGCACACAGGCCCTAGAGCACACGGGCTTCAGTAGTTGTGGCGCGTGGGCTCAGTAGTTGCAGCTCACGACTCTAGAACGCAGGTTCAGTAGTTGTGGCGCACAGGCTTAGCTGCTGCGTGGCATGTGGGATCTTCCCGGACCAGGGCTCAAACCCATGTCCCCTGCATTGGCAGGCAGATTCTTAACCACTGCGCCACCAGGGAAGTCCTGCATTTTTAAAGAACTTTAATGATGTGAGAAATATTTATGGAAACTTTAAAAAAGAATTAATATTATATAGCATGACCTGAACTATATGAACACAGTATGGGCACAGGAACATACATGAGATATGGAGATACAGGTGGCTGGAAGAAAATACACTAAAACGTCTGAGCGTCGGACAGACACAATATGTTCTCTTCTCTGTTCCAAGCGATGCTGGCTCACATCTGCAGAGCTCACATCCACCCGCAGTGGGCCAAGCGTTCCCAGGGGTACCCCTCACACAGATGAGGAAACAGAGACGCGAGCTCTCAGGGGCCACCCGACCACACACAGCCACACGCTGATGACAGACATGCACACGGCCTCCATGGGTCTGACCCGGCCACCACGCTCAGCCCTGGCGTTGAGCAAGCACGTGACACACGCTGTCACCAACTTCCCATAAGGCACCACGGGGGACCCAAGAGGTCCGGCCAAGGAGGAGTTGAGCTGGGGTGAACCTTGGGCCCACCGGACTCCAGAGAACACTGTGCTGAACTAAAACTGTAAAATTTCTGCAGTGGCCACATATTACTTTTACCACTGCTCCTGCTGCAAACACCCGACCTCCCTCTCTGTGCCCACTGGGCCATTTCCCACCTTCTCCATGGCAGAGCCTCAGGCTGCTCCCACTCAGGCAGACAGCAGTGTGGTCGGGGCCGTGAGTGTGCAGCTGGCTGGTGCTACTCACATTCTCCCTCTGCCACCTGTGGGGCGGGGACCGCTCCTCTCAGGTCCTCAGCTTCCTTGTCCTGAACAACAGGATCCACCTCAAAGCCACAGTGCAGCCCAGCTGCAAGACGAATCCTCTGCCCCTGTGGCCGTGGCTGCGTCTCTGCCCTGGTAATGCCTGCCCGACGGTGGTGCCTTGGTCACCGTGGGATCACGACGGCTCTGCTGAGGCTCCGTGCTCGGAACTAGTACCAAGCAAGGGAGAAGATGCGGCCAAAGCCTAGAGCCCGTCCATCTGAACAGTGGAATCTGTGATGGGCTCGTCACTCCCCAGGAAGCACAGTATCTTGCTCCCTGGCGGCCTCTATTTCTGACTTCAGTGTATGACAGATTCCCTCACTGCCTCCTACCTTAGTGTTTGCCAAGGGCTCACCCCTGCAGAACTCAGCACCAACTTGCTGCCCGCCCCCACCTGCCGCTTTACCAGGTGGTCACATCCTTAACCTGTTCCCAGCATTAAGGCCCTGTAGGGGGAGCACAGGTGTTTTGCTATTATCTGCAGGATTCAAAAAACTTCATTCCATTGGGTCAGCCAGGAACTTGTGCAGCATTCTGCCCCACCCTGGGTCCTGGCTTGGAAGCCACATCTCTGTCAAGACCGCCACGCCAGCTCACATTTGCAGGTGCCTGCGATGCTGCTCTGCCGCACCCCACTCGCTTTGTCTCCGGGGTCCCATGGCCGGGCCCCTCTGTACAGGACAAAGGTGCGCATCTCCCCACTCTGCATGGGATGGGCGGGGCACTTGTTTCTGACCCCTAGACCATTTCTAAAGCCCCTGTTTACTTAACAAGGCAACCGGCCATGAGAGGCCTCCCTGACCAGCCAAGCTGGTGCTTGGAGACAAATGTCTTCTTTTAATGGCCAGCCTGGGGGGAAAATACAGCAAAGAAAAATTGGGGTGGGGGCTCATTGATAAAAAAAAAAAAAGAGGCATTTGCTTTCTCTATGTGTCCTAGGGAAGGCACCCATGCAGAGACCACCTGCTGTGAGCCCCCAGGACCACAGGTGACTCTGGAGGCTGGGGTAAGCCCCACCTGGGAACACCGGTGCTCCCAAACCTGACCACTGGCTGACGGTGAATCTCCCCAGGGGCTTGTTAACAGACTTGCCTTTCGGAGCTCAACCCCTAAGGCATCGGGCCTAGTAGGTCCTGCTGGGACTCAGAGGGGTGTGTTTCGGAAGCTCCTGAGGTTTCTGAGGGTGGCCAGATTGGGGGCTGCGCAGTCACCTGTGCAAAGAGGACAGTCACTGCCCACATAGCATGGCTGGCAGGAGCCCACCTCCACCAGGTGAACGCTAGGTCAACCCAGCACCAACTGCGGGCAAGTGCCAGCCACAGAGGTCGCAGTGAGGCCCCAGGGCCACCTTCCACCTGCAGTGAGCATGAATCCTCCCAGCAAGGACACATGAGCTACAACCTGCACTCCCGACAGTCTGGCTGAGCGCACACAGGCACAAGCAGGGCTGGGTGGACGCCTGGAGACGCAGCTTGTGCCACATCCAAACTCCCTCTGCAGGTGGACAGCTGGGCAGGTGGGAAGAGTCCAGCACCCCTGGAAACATCCTAAGGATTTCAGTGGCTCCATTATCCTGGATGACCGGGTAAGTGACTTTCCACAAATGGACAGAGGTCAGACTACTGAAACAATGGGCCATTGAACCAGGAAGGTCATGTCTGAGACAGGCTTGGGCTGAGCTCTGCTGGTACAGCTCTGGAAGGCACTTCTCCTTGCGGGTTGCCCAGATTTCCTAGCAGCCCGGTGACAGGGCTTCCCTCTGGAGCCCTGGATGGACGGGGAGCAAGGCAAGAGGCAAGGCAAGACATGGGCTGTGTTCACTGTAATGCCAAACTCTAGGCCTGCGCCAAGGGTCCCCCTCAGTGGAAGCAAATGCCCCCTCTGCAACTCTGAGTCAAATCCTGCCACTTCTGGCTTCAGGTTTTACTGGTGCTAGTCCTTGGCACCCCTCGGCCCGCAGACACAAGGCTCCGCTCTCTGCCTCTGTCGTCACATGGCCTTCCTCCTGTGTCTGTCTTCACGTGTGTTCTTTTCTAAGAACACCAGTCCTATTGGGTTAGGCCCACCCTGCTCCCATGTGATGTCATCTTAACTAATTCCATCCATAAAGACTCTATTTCCAAGGAAGGTCCTATCCTGAGGCACTGAGAGCGGAACGTGTCTTTCGGGGCCACCATTCAACCCGCAGGCATCCCACAGTTAGTATCAGGCTCTAGCCAGTGCAAAGCAGTAAGGAAGTCTGTGCTTTATGAGAGGAATGGCCGTCGTCGCATGTTGCATGGCTTACTCACCACGTATGAAGAAGCGTTTTGGGATAAAGCTCTAACCTCTTGGTTCTTTGTGTTACTGTCTGCCACGGTGCAATATCTGAATTTGGGGCTTTTTGATATTTCAGATGCTGAAGATACAAAGATTGAGTGTAGACTCCCATTAACTGGTTGAGGCTCAGCCTCACCCTTGTTTGTGCAGTCATTTTAAAAGAAATAGGGCTCCATCAACCACTGGTGGCGCAGTGGTTGAGAGTCCGCCTGCCGATGCGGGGGACACGGGTTCGTGCACCGGTCCGGGAAGATCCCACACGACACGGAGCGGCTGGGCCCGTGAGCCATGGCCGCTGGCAGTGCGTGTCCGGAGCCTGTGCTCCGCAACGGGAGAGACCACAACAGTGTGAGGCCCGCGTACCACAAAAAAAAAAAAAAAAAAGAAATAGGGCTGAAAAGACCTGCCTCCAGTGCTGGTTCTATTTGGCGTATTTTCCCTCTGGCTGGGGGAGTGGGTGTCTCCAAGGGGCTTGGGAGGAAGAGCCGTGGGGAGGCTCAGCAGGAGGTGGCCCCTCACCTGCGCCTCCTCCTCAGGGTGGAGCCCGCGTGTCCGCAGCGCCTGCACAGCCTGGTCTCTCTCTCGGGTCACGGCCTTCAGCACCACCTCCTGGCCACACAGCACCCGCTCTGTCTCCTGCAGCTTGGCAGCAACCTGGGGAAAACACAGACTCAGTTCATCCTGGGAGGATTACAAGGAAGCAGTGCCACCTTCAGGGTCCAGACCAGCTCCCCATCCCGCGGGGAAGCAGACAGCAGACACTCGGGTGAGAAACCCCAGCAAATACGTGGCCATCAGAGCCGGCAGAGCACAGCAATCGCTGATCCAGCTCCAGAGGCAGCTGCACTGGCCATTAGAGAAAGGCTATGGGCAGAGACTCATCTTATCACTTTAAGTCCTGTTGTTATAAATCAAACTGCTCAGTGAGGCTGAGTGTTTTCAAATGCAAAGGATAACTCGGTGAGGGCCCAAGCCGGGCTCCATGCACCTCAGTGGACGTTCCCAGCCCTTCCTCCTGCAGAAAGAAGTCAGACAGCCCTGGGGAGCAGAGACCTGGTCTCTGGCCGCGGTTAGGCCCTGAATCAAGTCCTCAGCCCGCCGGTACTGCTCCCGCTCGACACCCTCGCAGCGGCGCTGCCAGTCCAGCTCCAACTGCACCTTGTCACGCTCCAGGCTCTGCTCCCTCTCTACTGCCAGAGACAGCTGCTGTTTGTACCTGCGGGGGTGAAAACCACCAACTTGAACGTTTTCCTGAGGTCCCTTTGGGCTGTGACATAGCTGAGGTGGGAGGCGCCCCTCCTGGGCCCCCAGGCTGGCCGTGTTCACGGGCTTGGCTTACACCTTCACACAGGCCCAGGTTCAGAGAGGAGCAGGTGGCCGGGTCTCCCAATACCGAGAAACCCAGCACTGTGGGAGAGTAGGTCAAACTCAGTAAGAGGAGACAGGAAGAAAGGCAGCAAACTCAGACAAACAAGAAAATGGTTGCACTCGAGAAACGCGAGAGGGTTCACAGCAGAGCAGACAGAGCTGGATAGTCAACAGTGCGCTGAAAGGTCAAACAGAACTCAGAAGACCAGCATCCATCTACCAGGGGGTTGGGAGAAATCAGAATGGAAGGAGGAAATAACCACGGAAATAGGAGGAAATCCACCATGGCTGGAGAGGGATATGCGCCTCCTGCCTGAAAGCTTCCGAGTGCTGGACAGGAGGGGCTTCAGACGCCATGGGGAAGGTACAGACAGCCAGCTGGGATGGAAGAAAAGTGCGTGGGGGAGTGAACCGGACCCGCACGAGGCTTCTCGTCAGCCACACAGAGCAACGCAGGGTGAAGATCACTGGAAGGCCTCTCCCCCGGTGGGCAGGGCTGTGACCAGGGCGGGATGGTAACACCTTCTACAGGGGACACCGAGTAAGGCTCCGTCCTGCCCACTGCAGGGAGATTCTCCTGCTGGCCGTGCTGAGAGGACCACGTGGCCCGGACAACCCCGGCTGACAGCGGCAAGGAAACAGACATCAGACCCACAGCCGCTGGAACTGACCTCCGCCGACAACCTAGATGAGCTGGTAAGGGGAGCCCGAGCCTCAGAAGAGAGGGCAGCCCGGCCGACACCTTGATTCCAGCCAAGTGAGACCCACTTACTTGGGGGACCTGGCTGCCACAGAAACAGACCCTCAACAGAGGTGATGTAATTAGCAGAAAAATACTTTAAAACAGCTACTATAAATGTGTTCAGAGATTAAAGGCAACCGCACACACAATGAGGAGAGAAATGAAAAGTGAAATGTCTGAAATAAAAAACCCATCAGCCTTCCTGGCAGATGAGACCTTGTGGGGAAAGTCTTAGAGGCTATCAAAAGAACATCAAATTAAAGCAAAGGAAACAGAAGAAAGACAATAGTAAGGATAAGGGCAGGTATCAGTGAAACTGAAAACAGAAAAACAACTGAGAAAAATCAATGAAACCAAATGCTGGCTCTTTGGAAAGGTGTGTAAAACGGATAAATCTCTAGCTAGACTGATGGAGAAAAAAAGAGACAATACAAGTCACCAGTATCAAGAAGGAGAGAGGACACTGCTACGGATTTTACACATATTAGAGGGACAATAAAGAAATACTATAAACAATTTTATGCCAATAAAGTCAACAATTAGATGAAATGGACAAACTCATTGAAAGATACAAATTACCAAAAGCAACACACACACACAAAATAGAAAACCTGAATATTCAAATAAATATCCAAAGAAACCAGACACAAAAGACTATGAACGGTAGGATTCTACGCAGATGAAATTCCAGATCAAGAGAAACCCACAGTGACAGAAAGCATCCTGGCAGGTGCCAAAGTGTGAGGGGACTTCGGGCTTCGGGCAATGGAAGGGTTTTATATCCTGACTGTAGTAGTGGTTATACTGCATATTTATGTACATATTTGTCGAGATTCATCAATTGTACAGTTAAAATTGGTACATTTATTACATTTCAGTGATTTCTCAAGAAAGAGAATATTATCTTTAGCCAAGTGCTCATTCCAACTGATAGGAATAGACACTAACAGTCAGACAAAAGACCTCAGAGGTGATTCCTGACACAGGACCAAATGGCACACACACTTTTACAGCCCTGGTGCAGACCGAGAACCGCGCTCTGTGGGAAAGGCCTCCTCTGACCACCCACCCCGCTGCCCCATCTTCCTCCCCTTCCCCCTCCACATGGTACCTTCCAATGTCCTGCTGGCATCTGGCCAGCTGTGCCTTCAGCTTCACCTCTTCTTCCTGCAGCGACTGAACCCGAAGGTCTTTGGAGATCATCTCCCTGGAAAGTTGAGCAATCTGGGCATCCCAGCCGGATTTTAGAGCTGATGCATCTTCCCGAAGTCTAAACAAAGAAGGGAAGCTACGTGAATGTGGGCGTGGTTCTCACGCGAGCTCTCTTTTACAACAAATACACACACACACATGCACATAGGCCTCAAAGGAAATGCTACAGATCAGGGTCTCTTTCACACTCATCAGGGCAGAGACTTCCTTGCCTAGATTAAGAAATGGTCCTACCCGAGAAGAAATATACACCCATCCCTCCCACCAACCCAAGCATCGACTAACACCTGCAGAATGCCATTTCCCCGCCAGGTACGTGGGGAAATGTGTGCCAGGGCGTGTCTCTCGGAGCCAATGTTTTTTTTTTTTTTTTT